TTCCTCCCAGGGACCTGTGAGGAAAAAAACAGCGGGGCAGAGGGCTCAAGCGACCGGCTGCGAGCGAGCCCACGTCGGGCCTCGCTCTCGCCCCAGAGAGAGTATTCTCTGGTCCTTTTCTCCCAGTCTGATCAGCGTCCCTCTGCTGGTGCGAGCGACCTGATCTCATTCGGGGGAAGTGGGGACGAGCTGCTGGATGACAGCATGTCATTAGCAGCGTCGGATGCAGAGGAGCTGTGGGGCTCGGAGAATGACCCCACCCCCTCGCCATCATCCGCGCCCAGCGCCACCAAAGACGGGATGGATACCGAGCTTCTCCGTATCCTCTCCAAAGCGGTTGAAGAGCTGGGTTTAGAGTGGTCCCGGCCAGAGGAGCCCTCTCGCAGCCATCTGGATGAATGGTTCCTGCCAGAGCGCCGCCAGGCCCCTCGTCAGCGTGCCTCTCCATTTTTCCCGGAGGTCCACGACGAGCTCACCAGATCGTGGCGCGCTCCATACTCCGCCCACCTCCGTACTGCCTCTTCATCGATGGCCAGCCTTGTGGTGCTCGAGCGCCATTTATGGTTGACGCTGACGGAGATGAAGGACGCGGATAAGATCCCCTTCCTCGATGCTCCTGTCTCCCCCAAGAGCCTTTTCGGCCCAGCGGTCGAAGGATTCGCTGAACGCTTCACGGAGGCACAGAAATCGTCCCAGGCTATACGACATTTCCTGCCTAAGCGCTCCAGCTCCGCTGCTGCATCAGCTCGCCCTAAGTCTGCACCGACTCAGCAGCCTGCGAAGCCAGCACCTGCCGCCCCAGTTGTTCGGCCCGCTAAAGCGCAGCAGACACGGGGACGCTCTCTCTCGGCCAGACGCTACCCTCTTCCTAAGCGCCAGGGACCCCAACCCAACAGGCGTCATCCTGATCCGCGAGACAGGAAGAGGATGGGGTCAGATCTCGCCACGGCCGGACCGCCCCTCAAGCAGCCTCTCTTACACCTCTTGACACCCCGTTCAGCTCCGGGTACAGAGGGAAATGTGTTTTGTGCAAACAACGGGCCCGTTCATGCGCCCAAGCATTCAACCGCTGTGATAGCGGAAAAAATAATAAAACACAAACATTTTCAAAAAGAGAGCAAACTTCCTCTTCCATCAGCTACCCTCTTACTAAGCGCCATGGACCCCGACCCAAGATTGCTTTGGACCCGGCGCCTCAGGCGTCATCCTGATCTACGAGACAGGAAGAGGATGGGGTCAGATCTCGCCACGGCCGGACCGCCCCTCAAGCAGCCTCTCTTACACCTCTTGATACCCCGTTCAGCTCCGGGTACAGAGGGAAATGTGTTTTGTGCAAACAACGGGTCCATTCATGCGCCCAAGCACTCAACCGCTGTGATAGCGGAAAAGATAAAGGAAAAAGTTCCTCCAGCCCAGAGCGAGTCAGGCTTTTACAGCCGATACTTCCTAGTCCCCAAAAGAGATGGTGGCCTCCGACCCATCTTCGATCTCAGACACCTGAATCGTGCCCTCATGAAGAGGTGTTCAGGATGATTACACTGAAACAGATCCTCGCAAATTCGCTCGAGAGAAGTTCTTTTCCCTGGACTTGAAGGATGCATACTTTCAAATCCAGATAGCCCCTCGTCACAGGCCATTCTTGAGATACAGACGCCTCCAACTCAGGTTGGGGGGCGCTGTGCGAGGGCATACCGACCTTCGGCCACTGGTCGAAGGCGGAAAAAGGCTTCCACATCAACTGCCTGGAAATGCTAGCAGTATGTCGAGCCTGTCAGTTCTTCCTGCCAGTCCTGAAAGGGCACCATGTGCTAATCCGATCGGACAACATGTCGGTTGTGTCCTACATAAATCGCCAGGGAGGCCTCTCTTCAAAGCGTCTCTTCATGCTGGTAGAGTGCTTCCTCGAGTGGGCTCAACCCAACCTGCGCTCGCTAAAGGCAGCGCATATACCGGGCAAATTGAACCAGGGAGCGGACATGTTATCAAGGAGCAATGTCCCCTCAGGGGAGTGGACGCTCCATCCGCAGACGGTTCAGAAGATCTGGGAGATCTTCGGCGAGGCCGAGGTAGACCTCTTCGCCTCAGAAGACAACTCTCACTGCCCAATTTATTTCTCAAAGACCAGGGACGCGTTGGCCCACGATTGGCCCAACCTCCTTCTCTATGCTTTCCCCCCGATCGCTCTGATCCCACAGGTAATCAGGCGAGTGAGGGAACAAAAACACAGGGTTCTCCTGGTAGCCCCCCTTTGGATGAACCAGCTGTGGCTATCAGAGCTAACTCA